GGCTGCCCATTTAATGCCCTGATGCCAAAGGCAGAATACACAGCTCTGCCCTCCTTTTACCATGCCCCATGCCTCACAGATGGCATCCAAATCACTATCCACTATTACTCCCCCAGCCTCTTAATTGGGCTGCACTTGGCCTCTGGTCTATCTTGGCCTCAGGTGTCCTTAGACATGCCTGGGCCTCATGTTGTTTCACTGGAGCCTCAACTCCAGCAACTCCAGCCAGCCCATGCGCAGTTCTTCAGGCCCCCTAAGGCCCCACTCTACACGACCACTGGCTCTCACTCTGCCCCCTCACCAGGGCTTCTGGGCCTTACGCCCCTTGGGCCTCAGGAGTTTATCAAGGTACCTGGGAACCCCAGCTCAGACTATGGCCACTCAGGCATCAGTTGTCTGTCAGTGTGCCTGTACCCTGCCTCAGGCTCCACTCAGTGGGCCTGGGCCCCTGTACTTTTCTGTCAGGGTGTGCCCCCCTAGCCTCTCCCCTCCATGGGGCACCCACAAGGCAGCAGGGGCTGAGGCTTTACAGCACCCCATCCTCGCCTTTCACTGGGGAGGGACAGGTATGGCATTTCCTGGGGACTGCCCCGCCACACCATCCAAACCCAGCAGGGTGTAGTTTTAGATCATTTCCCAGGACTGGGAACCTCCTCCATCCCCTTAGTTCCTACCCTGAACTTCCAGATGTTGTGAGCAAGCAGTGCTCCGGCTGGAAGATATTCACCCTTCAGCTCCCCGGCTGCAGCTGGCTGGCCCTGATCTTGTACCCAGGGTGCCCAGCCCTCCACCAATCAGGTGGCCTCCTGACTACCATGTGGCCGCCTGATGGGGTCTGTTCCCACTCAAGCGCTTAAAGTGGCAGGCACCAAAAGTGCCCTGCCACAATGGACTGCAACTCAAACCAAATTTGGATATATTACACTTTATTTATAAAGCTGTGTCGATTTCTAACTATTTTTTAAAAAGGACTTACAAACACCTACTTTAAAATTTAAACTTGTAGAGATATAGCTACACACAAAAGTAGTAATACTAAGATTTTTTTTAATCTGAATCCCTGGATTCCACATATTAATGGTATTTGCAAAAGATGGATATTTACATTAAATTTCACAAACTGCCCAGTTCTGAGCAATGAACAAGTTTCCAAATTTTGGAATTTTACTTTTTGGAGTTTATCAGCCAGGCTCCTTGGCTAAGGGCTAGAATTAAATCCAAGGCATACCTTTCTATTGTTCTTGGAAGTCAAACATACTCAATAAATGAATGAACAAAGTCAATAAGACAGGCTGATAATTTGCCAAAGTCCATATTTTCTTCATAAAAGCTAATATATTATGAGTAACGTTAAAATATACCATGCTTTCAAAATATTTCTGTATAACTAATTCATATAAAATATTTCTGAAATATCAAACAACATAAGACACCAATTCTGTAAGCCAACATATTCATGTTGTATTTAAAAATAATGATAATATATGCTCTATATTAATTGTCCTTAACTATCTGCATGCTCTTTCTATGTACTATTGCTGTATTTTGCCCCAGTGCCAGCTTTTGATGGATGGAGCAGTCTGTATTTACAAAATCAGGATTCAAATCAGTGTTAAGTCTGTCAAGAGCTCTGGCTTTCTGTTTCCTAAATATGTCATATAAAATATAGGACACTTGTGTTGCACAGGAATTAAATACAAGTCATACAAAAAACAGAAAAAGTTAACTTTAGAAAGTGATAGTAATAACTTTCAGAATTCAAAAGTGTTCCATATTGAAAAGGAACAAATCAGGAACATGTCAGGGTAGGTACATTTTTTTTTACCTTGAATTGCATGAGCTAAAAATACTCAGTATTACAAGATAAGAGGCAGTATAGCCATCTTATACTTTAGGGAACTGTAGCAATTGCCTGTGTGCTGTAATCCAAATGATCCTGTATTTAGAATTTCTAAATGAAATTCACCCTGTTGAAACTCCCCTACTTCAGAGGCTAACAAAAGACCAGATATTTTATTTAAATTACAAGGATAATCTAACAAATCTCCATCTTATTCACGAAGTTTTAAAATCCAAAAAACTATTGTTTAATAAAGCTTGTAGTTCCAGTGATATTTACATACCAGAATGCCACACCACTCGCATCTCATACCAGACAGCACCTCAGAAGAACCACAGGTTTTTTTACAGACTTCACAGCGAGCATTAGAAGAAAGATTTCCCTCCCTCCAGTGATGATGGTATGTATCCTACAAAAATGGATCAATATATTAATTATTCATAATGGAAAATACAATAGTGTTGCTAAATAAATTAATTTTTAAAATAAGGCCTACTAACCTTAAGGAATATATAAATAAAAAAAATCTGTATTTAACTGAGAGACGGATAAGCAAGTTGGCAACATACCATTACATTCCAACAGGAATTCAGTTATAAAGGAACCTTAAAAAGTTCTGTTTCCCTGACCACAAAACCACTAGTTCAGGAATAAATGTATTGAGCTGAACACTATTGGGTTTTCTCTCTTCAGTTCATTGCAAATATTAACAAATTCTCAACACATACTAATTAAGAGATTACAATCAGTATCTGCATTTTACAGACTGGGGTGGGGAACAGCACATAAAGCCTTGCCAGAGGCAATAACAGTAAACCCTCTTCAGGCTTCTCTATAGGCTAGGGGTATTGTGCAATTAAGTGGTTAACAGAGCAATTAACTGAGACCAGCTACAGATGCAAAGTACCTATCACACAATAAAAAACTCCAACCAGCTAAAATTGACCAAAAATGTGTATTAACTTTATAGCTGGTTGCTATCAAGTTTTAATCTACATGTGTAGCAAGGCATACATTACTGGATAGCAATTTGCTGCTCTTCCAGCATCCCAGGATGCATTGCTGTATCTCCAGTGTAAACTTCTCTGAAAAAGAACAAGAAACTGCTGCCCCAGCATATTTCTAATCCCTAGATTCATTTTCTCTACACACCAACATCCAGCAGAAACAATACAGCTCTCCCAGTCTCCTATACGAGCACAGCAGATAGGAAGGGACACTCCTGCCATGCTGGAGCCTCCCAGGTGCTGCCCAGGTCTTCTGGGCAGCACCAAGTCAGGGCCATGGGGAATCCACCCCACTTCCCTCCACCTGTGCATGAGGCTGGGGGGCACTGTGCCTAGCTAAAGCAGAGCCTGGGTCTACCAAGCTTGCTGATGTCTGGGAGGGGAGGTAATCCCCTTCACTTCCCCCCCCCAAACTTACAGAGAACCAGACACCCTGCCCAGCCATAAGCAACCCCGGTCTCCTGGGTCATAGCAAGCAGAAAAGCAAGGAAATTCCACCTTGCTTGCTGCTTCCTGGAAGACGGGGTTGTGCTATAGCTGGGCAGGGTGTCCCTGGCTCCCTGCACTTGTGCATGAAGGAAGTGACCATGGGGATTTCTCTCCCCTGCCCCTTGCTGCTGCTCAGGAGACCTAGCCTGTGCTCCTGCCAGTGTCCCTGGCTCCACCTGTGAGTGGAGGAAACTGGGGGGAGGATTTCCCCTCCTCCCCTTCCCCCTGCTTCCCACGGAAATCCCAGGGGATATTCCTCCTCAGTAGAGTGATCTCATTCTTTCACTAGTGCTGCTGACCAGAGAGCTTCCCCAGCTGGTCAGCAGCAGAAGTGAAAGCTGTTGTTCATTTTTCCTTTCTCCTGACAGCCTGTACATGGCATGATGTATTCATCACGAAAGGATAACAATATCATGATTGGAGTAACATCTATGAGGCACCCTCAGATGCATAAGATTTCAGTTATATGGCTTCTGCAGGGCCTCTTACTATCCCTGGGATAAGCATTTCAGACTGCCAAGAACTCTCAACATACAAAACAGTATTTGTTGTCCTCTTTCCAATACCTTGAAAATTTAAATTTAAAAACAGGATGAAAATGGCACAGCTACCTCTGTAAATGTCAGATTTACATATCTATGGATTTTATATGAATATTCAAGTTATATGTATTCTACAGTTCCCTATTATTCAACAGGTACATCTCGCAAATCATTTTGCATTTGATCCTTAGCACCCAGAGACATTACAAGAAATGAAGATTTTCTAGCTATTTTTAAAGAATTTATAAATTATAAAAGGCTGTTAAACATTATTTTTTCATATTTAAAGTATACAATTGTATTTTATAGGAAGTGCACTCTTACATGGTCCTGATGCCCATCCTGATGGCACTGACGGCAGTCACTGCAAGCAAACGGAACACAATCTGTATGCACGTGTAGTTCACATACTAAAAGCAAAAAGTAGAAACAGGAAATGTTTCATCTCCCAGACAGCGTAAAAAGTAAGCAAGCCTATTTGTACAACACTTTCTCTCATGCTCTTTTCCATTCAGAAAAGATCAATACATAGGAAAGAAAATCTAAGTTTGTCTTAAGCAATTTCACCATTTCTTCCCATTCAATTAAAACAACAGCTTATCACAGGGATGACAATACTCCCAATAAGCATAACCAAGTCCTCTTCTCTAACATAACCAGCTCACATTTTAAATTGGAGAATTCAGAGTTCAGAAAATTCTTAGCAATAGGACAGTTTCTTTTTCCACATCTGAAAATAAAATCCTAGATTTAGAAGAGGCACCTAAAACTATGACCAACTAATTAAATTTTAATTAGACAAACCTTATTCTGATATCCCATCTCAAAGATAAGCACAAAAAATACTCACAAATTATACTTTATGGCCTTAACAAAGTTATGAAGGAAATGCAATGCTAAAATGTTAGTAGTATTGTCCGGTGTTCTTGCACCCTTATCTCTGAATCAAAACCAGACTTTTTCCCTGTCACATCCTTATCTGGGATTAGAAGCAGGCAATAGAAGAGTCATTGGAAGCAGCAGCTTTATGTGCTCAGCGCATGTGTTCAAAGGTGAGGCAGTAAGGTGAAATCTACACTGCCACTGTGTATGTTGCACTTATTCTGTGGAAAGGCAGAGATGCATCATGAGCATTATGCCCACATCTTTAAAGTTCATTAGGAAATGCAAAGATTTCTTACAGCACCATAAAGGAAACCCCTTCCCAAATGCCTTAACCACAACTGTTAGTAGAAAGGTGAAATAACTTTCCTAACTGATCTGAGTATGTGCATAAGTCCTGAAGGAACCTTTTATTGCTCCCACTTAACAAGGGATGGACTTCTTTCATGAAGAGACTTGTAAGAAGGATCCCTGAAGAGAGACAAGGAAGGGGAACTTGTGAATGACAGCATATATAATTATATAGTAGTTCTCCATAAGCTATCAAGTCCAGGACCAAGTGGTCACATGTTACTTGGGTCTATGCTGGAAAAAGAGAGTGAGCCAGGGTAGCTCTAGACAGGAAAGAGGAATGCTTGCAACCATCTCCAACTGCGATGTCTAACTCCCTGCCCACTGGAGAAATTGCAGAAGGAGGTGGTTTGCTGAGCCATCAAGGACTTTTGCTTATTAAACCATAAGTGCTTGCTTTTTTGATCACAAGGCATTTAAGTAGTACAGCCACACACTGTATATAGCTGAAATGCTCAAAGTTTGGAAGTCAGCCATTGAATCCCTGAGGGAATAAAGAGCTTGGTTGTACTTCGGAGTCGGAAGTACTGAGACTCTACCACTATCTGAACATCTCCTGATAGCGCAGATCCCTAAAGCCAATGATCTCCTCTTGACTGTAACTACTGCCATAGGATATGAGGCTATCAGTGTCAACAGACATTGATAATTTGTGATTCTAAACTGTAAGCTTGCAAAGGAGTAGGTTCAGTTACCAAAAAAGTCCAATCTGCATGGCTCCTTTTCTTTAGGCACTGATTTGGTTTGGTCCACTTTGTTAGCCTCCAACACAAGTGATAAGGATGGAGCAGAGCTGGAGTAGAAGAAACCTGCTCCCTTGCGAGAAACTCTGTGCCCTATTCACTCTTATCTATGCCCCCTTTCTCAACCCTGCCCTCCAACAACACAGAGGCTTGCCTGAAGTACAGCAGGGTCTCAGTTCATATCACTGATAGGCAGTATAGCCTCAGATGGATCCAGGTCGCGTTAAGATATCTAGAAAGATATGTGGAGGTAAGCTCAACCACCTCCTCTGGAAAGCTGCACAGCTCTCTTGCCACCCACCCCATCAAATTCAAAAAGATCCTGGCATCCTCTGTAAGGGGCAGTGCATTTGAGACAGCTGTGCCACATGGAAGGAAGACCACACAAAGACCATTATCAGCTCTAATCCCAGACACAACGGCTAGGTAGCTACCAGTGGCAGATGATACACTGGGTCTGACTAAAATGATGATGTTGAACAACACCAGGAAGGCATGTAGGCAGTCTACTGCTTAGGATCCTGGGGTGTGGGGAAAAAAATCCAGGCAGTAGAGACATGCTAAGAAAGAGGGGATCTCCTAAAACCAATAGTTTGCCATTTGAACATTACCATGGAAACAGGTCCTGTAATGGCTGGATTTTTTCCTGCGGCCTACACAACAGAGAGAAGAGCAGTGGCAGATACTCATATGCTTGCAAAGTCAGGTCATCTTTATAAGCAGTGCCTGGGGCGAGAAAATTGTTTGCTTTGGTATCAGGTTGATTCAAAAGGGTCAGTCAAGAGAGAAAAGATAAAATTCCCAGGGAATCATAAGATCCTAAGAAGTCAACAATCTGGGAGCAAGAGCTCTCAGCCCACTAAGGAAAAATTGAGGAAACTTATGGTACTGGCAGGACAGCTGGTACTTGTAACAGGGGCTTTGTCCCTGTCAATTTAAGAAGGAAAGAGCAGCTGAGTTTAAAACTAGCTATACTGGACTACGCAGCCAGGTGACAGCAGGGCAACAGGAACAGGAGACTAGAGGGAAAACATTTGTGCTAGAGGGAAAACATTTGTGCATGGTGGAGGAGCTGGAACATATTTGGTAATTTTGGAAACACTCTGTAAACCTTGTAACGCATCAACAGGCAGCATAATTCCACCCTCCCTCCTCCAATCAAAATTTGAAGGTGAGTAACTTCATATTTTTCTAATTAATGAACAGAAAAAGTCAACCTGGAACTCCAAAATGCATTTCCTAGTAAGACTTTTTTTTTTTTTTTTTTTTTTAATAGAACTATACTTTAAAATGTGTATTCAATGTGGAGCAATGTGACCAGAAAGGTAGTGCCCAGAGGTATATAAGCTAACCTCCCGAGTGTAAGCCAGCAGTCTGGCCCAGCACTCTGCAGAAGAGAGGAGCTCCAGATGGACGTGCAGGGATCTACGGGCTATGGGACAGTACAAAGGGCTGTGGGACTGTGGGAATCAAACCAGAGTGGGGTTTGATTTTAGCTGGAAGCATTTGCTTGTATCTTGGTTTATAACTGGGGGACCAGGTTGTGGTTGCAGGGTGGGAGGGGTGAATTGAAGGCCATGCAGCAGGTTACCAAAGGGGAGCTCTGTGTTAAGTCCTGTAAAGGGCATGGATGCAGTGGGGCTGAAGCCTGGGAGACAAAGCTCAAAACAGTGGGCTGAGGGCTTCAGCAAGAGAAAAGGGGCCAAAGGGAATGTGGATGGGACTTGGAAGTCCCACAAAAAATAATGATGAAGTGACACTTGTGAGGCATGGTTGTGGCTATGGGGGTAGCTGGAGGCCATGATTAACTCCCCTAAAGTAAGTTACTGCCTGAGGGCACAGATAGAGCCAATAGGACCCAATCAGCTAGGCCACATGCGGATCCAAGGGGCACACACTCAAAGGCTTAACCTCCCAACAAAGTACACTTGCCATCACAGCTTGGCAGGTGGGACCATGAGGAAGTTATCCCAAAGATCTGACGGAAACCGGTAGTTCGGCCACGAGATGGCATTATGGCCACCTTCAGGAGCCGGTTCTTTCACATTACCACTGACATATCTAGTCCAAGTTCAAGGTGGAGTGACTACTCTTTAGCAGACTCTCTTATCCGGGTCTGCCAGAAAAGCGTGCGTCATAAGTACCACCAGCTTAGCAGTTGTTGCCAATTATGGGTACACATGACCCAGCAAGTTGTTGGATGAAACCACTGCATTCTTGTTGTGCTGGTGACAGTGCCCAGGTCTCCAAGAGTTTCTTCTGGAGTTTTTAGTGGATGGGAAGCTTCTGAGAATGCCCATGGACTCTATGATGTTTTTACAAAACAGGAAGCACCAGTCAACTTGAAAGGCAAGGCAAAGCAATGTGCCAGTAAGCTCCTGGTCGGGGACTTACCTCTGGAGTGTGATCTAATCACGGAAAGCACATCAGGTTTGCAAAGGCTGAAGAAGGAGATTGATGTGGAGATGCAGTGCCAGAGCTTGTCCTGACCTGAACATGAAAGATTTCCTCCCTTTCCTTCTGGTCCTAAAATCAAAGGACCTATGATATATCATCTCTCTCAGTGATGCGGTATTATCTGAGATCAGTGATGCACTACCTCTGGAAGAATTGGGAGGGCAAGCAGGGAGGGTAAGGAGTGGGGGTCTGGCCTAGATTCTGCCTTCCCTGACAACAGTGAAGGGTACAAATTTAAGACTAACTTCTATTGATTAGATTCTGTACATGGAAAAACAACAAATTACATTTTCCATGTATAGACTCTAGTTTTTGGGTGGGGGGGAGAGGAATCAAAGTAAATTTTAAAAAGTTTTCTTGGATTTGGGTAAATGCAACAAGTACTCAAAACCTTGACTATGCATTTTAAAATACATTTCTATAACAAAAAGCCTTACTAAGAAAAGCATGTTGAAGTTCCATGTTGATTTTCTGTTTGTTAAATTAGAAAAATATGAAGTTACTCACTTTCAAATTGAAGCAGGGAGGGTGGCATTATGCTGCCTGTTGATGCGTAACAGGGTTTACAGAGTGTTTCCAACATTACCAATTATGTTCAGATTCATACCTACCTCCTCCTCCTGTCCTGAGCACAAGACTGACTGCCTCTTCACTTTCAACTTTGCTGCCATTAGTACTGCTGAACAAAGGTAAGTAAAATAAAACTTAGAACTTGCTTTTTGTTGCCTCAGTCTGGGGCATATCCAGCCAAAGTATCAAGACTGGCCCCGAGTTGACAGCCAGAGCAAATCTGGATGACAAAGTTCACATTTAGTGAAGAGTTTACATTTGTGGCAGTAATTTTATTCCTTGACTTAGACATGAAACAGACAAAAGTACAAGTATAGCTTGTGCCATGAATGCAAAAACAAAGGGATTTATGAGACGGTTGTTAATATTAGCATACAGTGGGGTTTTAAATTACACACACACACACACACACACACACACACACACACACACACACGTATGCATATGCATGTATTACACACACCCCCCCATTTAAATAAAACATACACCTGAAGATGCATGCACACGTTTTAAAGTTACCTTCACATCGAAATGCAGGCAATTCCAGTGGCTTTCTGCACACAGTGCAAAACTTTCTCTTGTAGTGTCCTGGTGGTCCAAAACAATGTGCAACCGGAACCTACCAATGAAAACATAAGACATATACCCTTGAAAATTTTAGGCAATTAAATGATGCTTCACAAAAATTTCCTTTTGAAGTGGCAAGTAGATTAGAAGTCAACTTGAAGCGGTACAAATTTAAAATAAAATGTGGGTTTTGATATTTTATATTACATAAAATAAATAATTTCAATATTTAAAAAATAAACCAGTGTTTATTATTAGTTATACTATAATGCAAGAGGCAATAATTTCAAGTGATATCTTCTATTGGACCAACTATGTAGTTGGGATAAACTTAAACAAGATTTTGAATGCAAGACATTCTTTGTCAGGATATAACTAGGGACCTACCGAAATCGTGGCAGAAGTGTGCCGCACAGTTGCTCCTTTAATCTTGCATAATTTGCCACGCCCCCTCCCTGATTGACAGAGGGTCCCAGTGCTTGCTGCTGATCAGCCAGGAGGCAAAACCCACGGTTTTAAATATGCCGTGGTTTTTGCCTCCTGGCCGATCAGCAACAAGGGCAGGGCTGCTAGGGCCCCTCAGCCAATCAGCAACAGGAAGCAAAACCCACGTATAATTAAACCATAGTTTTTGCTTCCTGGCTGATAATTGGCAAGTGGCACAGCTGCCAGGACCCCTCTGCCAATTAGCGGCAGTGGGGTGGCAGGGGAAGGAGACAGCAAAACGAGCAAGACTAAAGGAGCTGTGGTTTCAGTAGGTCCCTAGTTCTAATGTAACAACTTCCAAGGACTCTAACTTAGAAAAGAGCACTGCTGTTTTAGATGATCAACGCCCACATATGAAGATGTGGACCTTGATCTGAAGGGTTTATAATCTAACTGGTTGGATATACAATTAAAAGGTGTCCAAAAGTACATATTCTGCAAGTTAATTTTATAAAGGGAAGTATTATTAAATATTTCCTTTCCAGGCCAGTAACCATATACTTGTCCTACTACTGGAGCCAACCAGCTGAAAAAACACATCCTATACTCTACTTTGCCTACATAAAACGGACAACAGCCTAAAACAGTGGTCATCAACCTACACCACATTGCTTATGGATCCAGCCTGTAGAGCTGTGGCTTCAATAGCATTTGGCAATGGCGTGACTCTACCTGAGCTGCTCTACAATGAAGTGCCTCAAGCTTTAATGGAGAGGACTTTCGCCATGCCACACCACAGCAGCAGTCAGGTCCCAGTGACCAAGATGGGTCACAGTCTGGCCCTTTGCCGGAAACATCGGCAACCTCCAGCCGAGAGAGCCAATTAATGTTTCAAAGACTGGTCAGCAAAGACTTCTATTCTGAACCTCAACTGATCTTGATTATAGTAGATGAAAGAGACCAGACTGTGAAAATTATTTTTCTGAATTCTGAGGAAGATATACTACCAGCCTTACAACCATCTTTGGTCCAGAAAGGAATTGTTCAACTTCCCACTGATCAGTAATATATTTCAAAGTTCTGTTGCTAAGGGCTAAACAAATAGTTTTAGCAAAACCTTTTAGTGACATTAATGCACGAGATAAAATCTGTTGTTTTGCTCACATAAAGTAATATCACTGAAATCCAGAAATAAGTAATGTACCAAAATAAAGACTAGAAGAAACACCTTAGTTGAGCAGTTAAAACCAGACGCCCTACCTCTGATATAGCTATTATTAAATTCAGGCTGTAAGTGCATCTTATAATCAAGTCTCTTCATCAAGCACAATAATGCTACCAAACCATAAGAATCGGTATCTAAAAGACAGAAACTGACACTAACAAGTGTGAAAACGTAACATTAAAATACATAGTTAAATATATGATCCACACCCTGCAGACAATTTTTAACACCTTACTGTATTAGTATGATAGCAATATGCAAGACAAACAAATGTGCTCTTCAGATTTTAGAAATCAAATTACTTGTATCTATAAATTGTGGTTAGCTTTCAGTACTTTAAATTTTAAGTTTTATATAAATGTAACAGTAGGCAACCGTCAATCCTTTCTGGATCACGGTGCATGCATAAGAGATCACCAGGATCTTTAATGTGTATGCCTAGGGAAGAGTATGGAGGAGTGGAGACCGCTCAGACTTTCTCTCTCCCCTTTAGACCATTGAGACAATATCCGAAGGCCAGACCAAGTCCACAAGTTTGGTCCCTTGATAGCTGTAGTTATATGCATGCCCAGGAATCATGTCATCTAGACTTTTAACAAACCAACACAGCCTCCATGACTATCCAATAAACTGTCATCCTTCACTGCTCCACAATAATACGTTAAATCCTATTTCTGCTGAAATTTAAAATAATGATCTAATTAAAAAAAGTACTGGAAACAATTTTTAAAAGCAGGTTCTAGATAATATATGACATCATGCAAACATAAGGCAGAGGTGATAACTTTCATTAGACCAACTAGATATTTGCAAAAAAAATTCTCTCTTGCAAGCTTTTGGGCATAGGCAACCTTCTTCATGACATTTATCGATGACATTATCAGCTACACCAGCCAAAAAAAGCTGATTGCTGATAAAGTTAATTTTCCTTTTATCGGTGCCAATTTGAAATGGACCAATATAAACCGGTGCACCTCTAGTTAAGATCAACCATGTAGTCCTTTTTGTACAATCATTTCACCATTTTACTGATGGTCTACATCCTCTCTCAGGCACCAAGATACAGTGTTCATCAGCATATATACAAAACCCATACTAGAAGGCAGATAGGTGAACAGAGGAAGGGAAGGAAAAGGAAGGGAAAGATGGGTAAACCCAAGAACGTTCATTGCTTAGAAAAATATTTTGGGTGGACAGAGGAGAAACATCAAGGCTTTTTTGCTTTCTGTTACAAAAAATTTAAAAAAGGGGAAGGTGGGGGATACGTTTTGTTTCTAGAAAAGAAAGAAAGTTACCCTAATTTTGACAGAAGTTATTGAAAATCATTTACAGAAGCATAGGCTTAGAAGAGGGATGTTTCCCTGTGTAAATGAAGGAAATACTTAATTCTAAATCCTCTTGAAAACCTCCAAAGGAATTCCTTGAGCAGCTTGTTCCATCACCCTACTGTTCTTACAGTTGAGAAGTTCTCAGAGACATAATCCAAATCTGCTTTAGTGAAGTTTAAACCTATTGTCTGATGATCTGCCTTCTGTACTGGGGAGAACAGTTGAACACAGAACCTTTTTTTATAGCAACTTTTCAATTATTGATAACTAATATCTCAATCTCCCTTTCTCCAAACTAAACGTACCTAGTTTTCTCAATCTTTCTTCGTAATATTCCAACACCTTTATTATCTTTCTTCCTTGGCTTTGAATCCCCTCCAATTTCTCCATATCCTTAAAATGCAGAGCCAAAATTGCACACAATACACCCGGTGCCGAGTAAAGCAGCACAGTCAGCCCCCATGTCTTACGTGACCTTCTATTAACGCAACCCAAAACTGTATTTGCTTTTTGCAACTGTGACACTGCTGACACAATCAATCAGGAATCTCTCTATTTTCCCTAGTACCAGTTATCTTTTAATGATTTGACAGCAACTGAGCTAGGACATGACTCTGCGGACCCCACTCAAGACCTCTTGCCATTCTGATAATGATCATTTAGTTACTCTTTATTTGCATTTATTCAACCAATTATGTATCCACCTAACAGAAATTCTTTCAAGTTCACATTTCTCCAGTTTACTTACGAGAATGTAACATGGAACTGGATCAAAATCTACTAAATCCAGTACATTACATCAACCACACTCCCCTCATCCCCACAATGAATTACCCCAAAGGTAATCAAACTGATTTGGCATGATTCATTTTTAATACATCATACAGCCATATAGAGATTGCCTCTTTCTCCTCCAGATGTCTAAAAATGGACTGCTTGAAAATTTTCTTTCAACTTCCCATGCATTTTAGTCTGTCTGGCTGGTCTATAATTTCTCAGGTCAACCTTCTTCTTACCCATCTTTAAAAAAAGATGGGCACAAAGTAATCCATGATTTTGTAAGTACTGCTGCAGGAGCTGAGATTTCTTCCATCAATTTTTTTCAGCAATTTGGGATAAAACAAATCAGGCTCCATTGCCTTCAATTCACTCACAGCTGTCATAAGCTCTGGCATGCTCTTTCCTAACAATCCACAGCCCTGTTTCTGTGTCTTTATTAATTGTTAGCTTCCCAATCAGTTTGTTTAATTAGGCAAGGCAAAACTGTCATTGAGCAGATCTCTTCCAAAAGGTTGTCCTCTATGTTATGAACTCACTGGTCATTTTATGATTTTCCCTCATTTTGCCCCATCAGATACTAGGGGAGAGACACCTTCATGTTGGCTTTGATTAAATAAGATTGTTGGAAAATTCCTCTGTTTACATGTTTGTGCATTTGGCCCCTTTCTCTTCAAATGTCTTCCGATTGTCTGGTCCAACCCCTCGCTTAAGGCAAGATCACCCTATTCCAAGTAATCCTAGCCATCCAAAACAAATCCATTTTCTAACCTCTTAACAAAACCATCTTACCAGACATTTGTGTTATTATTTACTGGCTTTACGTGGTCTGCATTTTTATTTTCCAAAGGAGTGGTTTGGTTTACAAAAAAACTTCTCTCTTTACTGTTAGGGTAACAATAATTAGGATTATTGGGGAGCACTGGATTTGCAGCTGAATACAAAGACATGACCTGTGGCCTACCAAAGCTGCTAACCACAAGGCAGAATGATATCTAAGCCAGCCATTTGCTTATGTTAAGTAACCATCTTAATTGTGTTAACCACTTTTCTGGGAAAAGCAGCAATTAAGCCTGTGTGCTGTAAACCAGCTACAGTAAGGAACGAGATAAGATAGAGGGGCCCAAAAAAGGGTAGAAGATGGTACAACCTAAGACAGAAAAACAGACTGAAATGTGAAAAACAACATAATTGGTAACAAAATCCAAGATGAACATATGCAAAAAGGCAAATGGTAACGGGTGAAGAAGCCTCCAGAAGCTTCCAGGTTTTGGTCAAAGTCTTCCCATTGACCAA